CGAAGTCGAGATAAATAACATTCACCGCATCCCCTTCGTCAACCGTACTGGTCCATTCATCTCGAACAAGAAGCAGGTTCGTGGTGCACGATCGCTTTTGCCTAAACCCGTGTTGAGCTGTCGAGAGGATGCTGTATCTTTTGAGATGTTCCATCAGAGAATCGGCCACAATTGACTCCATGACCTTTGATAACACCGGAAGCAGGGTCACAGGTCTATAGTTAGCGGGGTCACTACAACCACCTTTGTATATGGGAGAAATGACTCCTTGTTTCCATGATTCGNCATTCGTTGAAACAGAATAGCTAGCGGTTCGGATATATATGATTTGCCAAAAAGATTAGAGATTTCGGGTGTATGTTGTCCGCACCTGGAGTTGCATTTTTTCGCAAAGCCATTAGTTTTGCTTTGACGTTTTCAATCCGTTGCAGTTTGTAAAACTATTAGCCATGCATTTTTGTGCGCCGTTTTCGGTTGCTATCTTTTCGCTGCACATCTGGACGAACGAATAGGTTGTTCAATCTACCAGTTACAGATTCTCTTCCGCTCCAAACCTGGGAGACGACAGAAGCTTACTGCGGCTAAACGCTCAGTACACATCTTGCTTCCATTTCTCCAGTCTACCCTAACGCAGATGTAAACACCGATAAGGTCGCAACGGTGAATAAAATGCGGTGTGGTAGACCTCAACTGGATGGATAAAATATTCGCTCTAACCAACGAAGTTCACTAATCCGAATTTGTTCTGACGAAGAACACTTAAACCGAATCGTTCAAAAGTACACGGAAGCTAGCAATTTTGGTAACTCATTTACTTCATTGTAATATAAATAAACATCGATGACTGAAGACCTCTAGCCGATCGATTTCTTCTACGTTCAAACCTAAGGCCTCAAAATCGCGAACTGAAAGCGATCATTTCTGCATGCGATATTTGAGTCTGAGTGCTTCCACTGCCATGCAGGCGTCGTTGCTGACGCAATCGCCTAGGTATGAGAAGAAATTCACTATGATTAACTATTAAACGTTCAGTTTCAGAGCCTAGTCTTGCAACATCATTTTGCAGTTTTAAGGTAGAAAGCACAGCCGACTGAGTGGACAGAACATGTCAGTCCGTCAAGTGCGATTTGCGCATTTTTGGAATATTGGAAAAGACAGACAATATCGTTAGCACACACCAAATTGCACAACTGGCTTCAGTTGTCCGTTTAATCACGAAACAATTTGGTCAACGGGGAAATGGATAAGTGGTTAAATGTGGCGCGCTTGACGGATTCCCCTACTGCTCTCGAAAGTACCACTTAGCTCACCGTAGACTCACTCGACCAGAAGTATTTGCTTACACTGACCTCAATAACGTAACATACTACTTGGTTGATACTCCATGAAGAAGCGAACCGATTAGAGCTTCACGGTCAGCAGAGTCGTAGGCTCTGTTTAGATCAAGAAACGGTGGAATGGTTGGTCAACGATATGCGTAACTTCATTTGAGCGCTTAGTGCAAGCTGAAGGTCTGATCAGTGCAACCCCGACGTGGTCGGAATCTCGCTTGTTGTGCATGGATATCCGTCCTTAGCAGGGGTGTAAGGGGGCGACGCATTACAGAATCTATTACTTTGACGGAAATCGTAATTAAAACGGCTCCAAGGTAATATATATATATATATATATATATATATATATCAGAATTACAAGATTAAAACCTCTGTATACGAGTTCGACGCGTTATCTGGATTTGGGTATCCCAACCCGCTGCCACGTCGATCCCATACAGGGAATTGTCGTCATCTCCCAATCGCGCCGACTTCTCGCCAGGGCGGTAATATTGTTATATATCCACAAAACAGTGCCAGGACGAGGAGAGTTGTTTATTACGAACAACGGTAAGGGTAGCGATAAATTGGCGTAAAAGGTTATCGTAATTCCAAAAAACCGGTCCGACGGTAGGTGTATATTTTCTGTAGTTAAAAATTTGTATATGGCAATTCACTCTAGGAGGTTTCTTTTATTTTCGACCGTTGTGAGAAACCGCCCAGTGCATCCTTTTACATAGTCCAATCTTGCTACTAATCAATATGAGTAGCTCCTCACAACACTACGAAGGAGGTGCACAGAATTAGCACTAACGAACTTAAAGATGATAAAGGCGAGACTGTCGCGGCGCGATTCAACAAAAAATCATCAGTTTCCGAGAGAATGTAGGCGATTGTATTACTGGTAGATTCTATCTTTGAGAGAAAAAGAAGTTAGAGAGAGATGTAGCGGAATTCGCTTGACGTAACACACACACACTTTACTTTTTGTAAAATAGAACGCAAGCCACAGTATCATTTAATCTATTTTCTGAGAACTTTATCCTAAAATATAAAAGTTTTCCCTAAGTGAGCTATGCACGCAAGCATGTTCAGTTAAATGACTCCACACATGCTGTAGACACACACGCACACACCAATATACTCGATTTGTATCGTGAATTTGCACGGTAGCTTGCAAGAGGAAAATATTGCTCTCTTAGCATCTAGTTCAGTTCATTCAACCATTAACCATACATTTTCGTGCGCCAGTTTTGGTTGCCCATTCAGATAAAACAGCAGAATGATGATTAGAATTTTAAAGGCTGATTCAAACGGAAGATAGCACATTTACATCGACTGAAGTTGCACGAGTGATGAGTAGATGCATGAGCGCCACCCAGCAATATCGCTGTGTCTCTAACCATCAGTGATCATGGTCTCGGGGGCCCCAGTCAGGGAGTCTAACGGGACCTATGTGACCCAAACTCCTGGATAGGGTTTTCATACCCTCGTGCCTGGTCTTTGCTTCACCACCCTGGGCTTTATTCCACCCACTAGCTGCCTCGGCAAACATCACTCGACTTCGCAATCTATTTGATGACATGCGTAACACATGCCCTAACCAACGTAATCTATGGAGGTCGACAACTTGCTCCAGTGGGGGACCGCGATTTCCTCAAACTCTACGCTTAGGTAATCTAGGTCATCCAGTGGAGCATCCACATAAAAGTGAATTTTTGAGTAGGACTCATTTTATGCCATCCAACACTCCGCTTTATCTGTATATTCTGACGGCTCCTGAATAGTCGCACCTTGCTTTTTGTTAATTTATTGCCAATCCCATTATTACAACGGATATGAGGAATGGACATCATTTTCCTTAGAATCACACATTTGCGCTTTTTGTACGAAGACATTCTACCGATTACAAGCGAAGTTAAAGCGTTCGCTAAAAAAGGAAACAGTTTATAAACGACGAGCTGTGTCAACAAGCAGCCGAAAATCGTAAATACCATCGTTGCTGAAAAAAATGCCACATTACAATATAAAACACACATATGTTCTCATTTGTGGCTAAATTAGGTGTAATGATCAAAACATCGCTGTCGGTGGTTGAACGACGCTGTCTACGCAGCATTCACAAATCTGGTGGGGCAACCGGACGAGCTATACTGAGGTTTGGAGTAGAGTTTGAGGAAATCGCAGTCCCCCACTGGAGCAAGTTGTCGACCTCTATAGATTACGTTGGTTAGGGCATGTGTTACGCATGTCATCAAATAGATTGTGAAGGCGAGTGATGTTTGCTGAGGCAGCTAGTGGGTGAAATAAAGCCCAGGGTAGTGAAGCAAACCAGGCACGAGGGTATAAAAACGTTGACCAGGAGTTTGGGCCACATAGGTCCCGTTAGGTTCCCTGGCTGAGGACCTCGGGATGGTCGTAACCGACATGACTGAGTGTCATAAACAGTGGCGTTCGTGGATTTTGTCAATTTCTCTGCTTTATTAGTCCAATGAACTTTTCAATTTTCTATTCGATCCTATTTTCAACCTTTCCTATCTTTTTCCTAAAGTTCATCCAAATGGGCAGCCAAAGGACAGCAACCAAAAGCGTCGCACGGAAATGCATGCTTAATGGTTTTTTAAACTGAACTGAACTGTTGGAGCTCGTCAGTAGAAAGTACCATTTGCATTTATACCGGGTGTGGAACTTTCGTGTTGGGAGTTGAGACCTTCAACCCTGAGCTTCACAGGGTTGTGAAGATTGTGTGATTGAATGGTCAAACCAAACTCGAATCCTGTGATTGGGTTCACAAATTCACATTATGTTTCATCTCTTACCCAAAGGTTACTTCTTCGTAAGGTAGGTGGAAGTTATTCACGATGAAATCCTTTGTCAAATATACGTATGCATATGCACTACTCGATAACTCATACGATCCTGTTAGCATGAAGACTACTTTCTTAATTTATCGGTTAGTTGATCGCCTGAGATCCAAACAACGAAACGCAAACAACCCATTTGATTTATTTTAAGCCTTATCATGGGAGAAAAGCAAATGACTAGATAACAACTCCAAATGGGGAGAAAACCGGTGCACGTGGACCGTATCGCGGGTTGCGGTCATTCTTCTCACATTCTGTTTCTCAGTATTAAGAATACCGAGATGGAGAGCAGATACGAGGTGAGCTAAAAAAAATTACGTGAGTCAGCAGAGCGTAAAGATATGCAAAACAAAACACCTCGCCGCATCACACGAAAAGCCCTCTGGAAGTACTCATTGCAGTGCTCAGGGCAATTGATCCAATTGAAGAGGGTCACGTGAAACGAGCATCAGATCCCAAAATCATGATACACGTGCCACTGTGGAGTGAGATAAAAAGGAAGTGGGTTGGTCATTATTTTCACCAGATACACTCAGTGATAACTATTTATGAGCTCAAAGTAAACATCAAATGGGGATCACAGACAGACGGGAGATCTGTGTGGACGCGTTTGTGGGAGATACCGAAAAATGGGAGGTGGAGGGTGGCTGCAGTATGGAATTAACAACTTACCCATTTTTGTGCAGATCATAAGCATCAGTTCGGCTACAGATTTACTGTCGTCTACACATAACTTCTTACGCGTTCCATCCATGGTACGGATATACAACCACCGATAACGATACCGGTATTCAACGGTGTCCTACAGAGAGAAGAAATACAAAGGGCCAAAGAGAGAATCTAGTTATATGCGGATTCTGTGCGATGGGAAAAAAGCAACTGACTATCCGATCAAACAATCAAACGAACCACTCAACAATAAATCGAACGACACAAGACAAATTCAACGAATACATTTACCTTCGTCCCATTTCAAATATGTTCAGTGGCAACTGACTTTGATTATAAAGCTTTCGAAAAGAAAACGAAGAAGGCAAATCGAAGAATGCTTTGAAAAAAGTGAACCACATGACTCAGGGGACGAACCCAATATAATGAAATTGGTTTCATCTCCGACACACTATGGACTGCAGCAAAATAGATTACAATGAGTAGCTCCGGTTATGTAGGAGCAAAACAAGCTTGGCCTGAGAGGTGCGCGAAAAGCTTAGACTAAAATGTGAAATTCTGTTCTGTGTTGCACATACCCCTGAACACATCAAGTATAGAACCGACCACATGCCGCGGTGGAGAAATGAGTAAGAACACTAAGAACTACATCCAAGGCTGAAGGGTTTGACCCCTTACAAATCGCGCTGAGAACGTCGCAGTTATCTGTCTATAGACAGATCGTTCAATACAACTAAAAGTTTGATCTCAGAGTAGTTGGAGCCCAACAAGCGTAAAACGGGACCTAATCGACCAGGAGATTATCACGGTTCAGTGAACATATTTAACCAGGTGTCAAACTCAGAATGTACCCGGTGTACGCATGAATGAGATTCGAGGATATAGAGGAGGAGGAGGAAAGAGTGAGAAGACAAAAACCAAGTCAACTCTTGAGACACGCGAACAACTAATACAATTCAAGTGCGACCACAGGATTACTGTTGTCAGTTTGAAACCATATTCTTCAGTCTTCAACTAACTTGAAGATCTTTGAAAATTGCATGCTATATCTCTGTTCTCAATTTTTCAAACTGATCACACTTCGAGGGTGCAAATGCGTTCATAGACCAGACTAAAGGAGACGGCAGTCATCGGAAGCGTCTCATAAATCATATGCATAAAGGTTTATTGAAAAGACACGGAATACCTGCTGGATTGTCCACCAGTATGCGCGAAATATTATCACATTTTTTAAATTTTTTATCACACACTTTCGTGTGCTGAACAGCAGACAGGAAAGCCCATAGTCACGGGGACCTGCTGTTCAGTGATGGAAACCGGTAACCTAAGCCCCGGGACTTGGAGTGGTGAAGCACATAAGGCCCCGATAGGTTAGGTGTTGGATTCACACACTTTCCGGGACTAGTGTTTGCGTAATCTCAAACATTATCCATTTTAGCGATTTGCCATCAAATTGGAATACATGGATCGTTTGACGTGACGTTTCGATAATCTGATATTTCCCAGTAAAAGTATTTTTACGACTACTATTGTTCAGTACGCAATTTATTGACTCACTGGTTGTTGGGTTTACAGATGGCGACCCCATGCCCGACATGTTTTTTTACACTACAGCGCGTATCCTACTCGGAGAATAACAACAGCACGTAGTGAAGCTGTTACAAAACCGACTCCGAGCGGAAACGGTTAACATCGCGGTGGTCTCGATGTGACTGTTTACGAATTCTGTCATCAGATGACAAGCAGTGTGTGTGTGTGTGTGTGTGTGTGCAGTCGTTTCCCCGTTCAATATCACCCCGTTTTATGATAACTTCGACTGTGATTTGCTATCGAGCACAATTCAGTCGACTTAAGACAGCGTACTGCGCATGCCACAATTGCGCGCGCGCTCGCACGTGTGTATGCTAAGATACGATCCCAGGAAAGCAACCAATGGGGCTTGAGCAATTCGGTCTCACATGAATCAATATCAGGTTGAACAAGTCATCGTCCGGACACAGAACAGGACCACCGATGGGAGATCGGTAAACAAAAAACAACAGATAGAGATGGACTCCCAGCACATCACAAAGCGTGAGGCTGCACGCGAACTGATGTGTTTTCGTCCTCGTGGATCCGCGAATCAATTGCACGTGATTCGCGCATTCGACCAGCTTGACTTGTTGTACAGTATGATGAGGACAGTTAAGAAACATGTTTACTTGAGCCGTGTGAGAAGACTGATCGAGGAATGCGGAAGGAGCACAGACTAATTTAATCCAGAAAATGATTACCTGGGCGGGGGGGGGCAAAAAATCAACCAGTCAGTCAAAATAATGGACTGCGACGAAGCAGGGAAGATAAACAAGTTGAAACTAACGGTAAATTGGAGCTATGCTGCAGTGAAATTGATCGGGAGCTTTCCAATCTGCCGACCCATAAAAAAGAGGGTGCGCAGGCGATTGATTCAACAATGAATCACCTGAACCGTTCCCCTCAACACGAAGAGGCAGCGTGATAGAGAGGAGACAGAACATAAATGGATTCAGATTTTTTATGAATACATTCCGGGGATAACGGTTGATGAAACAGCCTTAGCCAAAAACTAATTCCTGTGAGGGGTTATCCCACATCGTGTAGACTAAACACATTTCACAGTTGGTGCAATAAAAAGACAATCTGCGTAGTTCATTAGAAGGTAATTACAGATACTACGTGACTAATGCGGACTGAATGGCGTATCCGCTGTTGCAGAAGAACGTTTCTGAACACGCGAGATCAATGAGGCTCCAGCAACAAGTCCACATAAAAGAACAGTCCAATTAGGCTTGGTGATTGTGCATGCACTTATTTAGCAGTTAGAAAATGGGCACCATATCGAAAAGAACAATCGTGTTTACCGACAGACAAAATTGGCGCCTAGAGTAGCCGTCCTTCAGCTCTCACCGTATAAATCAGTTCACAACGCGTTAAGACAATCGTACTCTTTTAGGAGTCTGTGTGAAACTGTTCACACGATGAGCTTTGACAAGTAGCGAGAAGTAAATGAACAGGAATATCGATCACTGTCATCGTCAAACTGCACTGTGGCAGTCGACAAGCTCAGATCACGGACGGCAAGAAAAACAATCTACGGTAGACATATTCTATAGCCGAGTAAGCGATACATTTGGAAAATTCAACGGTTAGGCATTAAAACGATGAAAGAAAGTACTCCCGGGATACGGAAATTAACCAGTGTACACGGGAAACACTAGCAAATATGGTTTCTTCTCGACGACAACATCTCAGTTTCAGTTTGTACGACCCTTAGCCATGTAATTTCGTGCGCCAGTTTTGGCTGCTGTCTTTTGACTGCCAATTTATATGAAGCAGCAGAAGAAAGACAGAAAGTGACATTGGAGAATTTCATTAGATTAACATTGGCAAACATCGCGCGCCGTGGAAACCCCATTGGTGACATGTGTAACACATGCCCCAAACAACGTAATCCATGGAGATCGACAACTTGCTCCAGTGGGGGACCGCGATTTTCTCAAACTCGACGCCAAACCTCAGTATAGCTCGTCCGGTTGCCCCACTAGATTCGTGAATGCTGCGTAGACAGCGTCGTTCAACCACTGACAGTCTTTCTTTATTATGTTTTTATGGTTAAGTTTCTACGCCGTATAGCAGAACTGGCCCAACTGCCGCAGCATACATTCGAATCTTCACGGACAGCCGGATGTCGCCACAGACGTTTCAGGTTGGCAAATGTCAACTATGTGCGAGCTGAGACTTCATCCGTGATGCCTCCACCGGGTGAAAAATAGCTGTGCAAATAACGAAATTTGTCCCTTTTCTCTATTACTTCCCTAGTTAGGTTGAGGCTGTGTGCTTCCCCAACCGAATTTTGTAACGACAATTTACACTTTGAAAATTGTATCATTGTGTATTCAATAAAAAGGTAAGATGTAAAAACATATGACTTGAGTGGTAGGTGTAATCATGTGTGGCAAGGAAAGGATTGAAATGGGAAATACAAGAAAGCAATAGAGTTAAATTAGTCAATAGCAAAAGTAATTAAAAACAAGTTTGTTCGTTAACACTTGGAAAGTCAAAATGTAGGCATGAAGAGGAGCTGGCTATTCTCTCAGCTAATCAATCATCGGACGATTTATTTATTCGTAACTGCAGTACCAACCCTAAACGAGCCCTCGAATTTGAAATGCCGATAGCTTGACTATGAGAGTCACAGTGGTGGATTGGAGATCCACGGTGTGAAGACGTTTGTCCGCAGCATCGTAGATTAGTCGCTTTTAGCCAGCCCCAGTGAGTGGATGATGTTGATAGAACTGTTCAATTAATCACCCAGCAGCCATGCTGGATCTTGCGATCTGATAGTGAAATTTCCGACAAGTAAAATAAGGTTTATCCCAGCTAACTATAGACTCATCATTGTCATTACACTACTTGATCTACAAGTGACCTATGACTCATCGGACCACTCTGTACTCAGATGCTCACTTCTTTCGAAAGAGGTGTCGAGGTTTATTTCTTTGTCACGATCCCCCCTTGCATGAATAGCTAACAGCTCCTTTAAGTGGAAAGCGATGTTGCTTAGGGCGGTTCCCTCACTTTTTCTGTTCGATTTTGGAATGACAATGTCCTCCAGCGAGGATCGCACGGTCGATATTTTCCTACGTGAGTTCTGAAGTACGCTGTTGATATTGCACTGCTGAGTGTGTACCCACGTACGTTGACGCATTACCTGGGTTTGAGTCCAAGGCTTGGCTAGATTTATCACGGGTTTTGCACATTAAAAATGTAAAACACTGTAGCAAAATCGGTTTGGCTAGAATCTCATTATAACTGGGATGGTAATAAAGAAGGCGGACTAAACTACAGATTAAGGGTTGTGCATATTGAACGACTGAATGTGAGTAGTAGAGAATTGATTCAATTTCATGGAGGGAATTCATCGTGTATAGAACAAATGCAGCATGAACTGAAAGGCAGGAAGCAATGAGTGGGTCTTATCGGCAGCGCGAATACATACATCCAACTGAAGAACGAACCCGGGGCCTCACAGTTAGAGCGCAAGTATGCTACCCACTCGGTCACCGGGCAGCTGATCAAACAGTTTTCATTTTCCATTTACACGATACAGTACAATCCATCTTTGCGAGTTTGTTACGGGCATCAGCTTACTGGACGTGGCGGCCAAAGTTTTTGCACAACTTTTGCTGAACCGCTTTGCTGCAGCAAGGCATGCACGCACTCGTCCTAACCAGAAAGGATTCCGCCCCGGTGTGGGCTGTGTCGATCAAATATTCACTCTACGTCGACTCTTGGAACATCGCCACAAGTTTCAACAACCTACAACAGTCTGCTTCATTGATTTTCGTGCGGCATTCGACTCCGAAGATCGCGAATCCCTCTGGAACATAGTTCTGGCC